AATTGTTCCCACAAAAGAAATGCAAACGTACAAAAGACAGAAGAAAAAGACATGAAAATTAAGATTCCTTAGTATCGACAGTAAGCTGGGTTGGGACCTCGGAAGACTGTTGAGAAGCCACCTCAGCCGCCTTCTCCGCCATAAGCTCAGCATCAATCTCTTGCAAGGTTTCATCAATACTCTTGCTGACGATGAGGACATCGGATAAAGCTTTCTTAGGAGCAGCTTCTTTGCGAACCTCCTCATCCTCCTCATCTTAAGTCAAGTCTAGGACTTGCTCATTTTGAGGAGGAGACTTGGCCCTAGTTGCTTCCTTGGGTCTTCTCACTAGGGTCTCATCTTCAGATTCAGATTCCTCATCGAATTGAGCTGGTGGAGGAGTTGGAGGGAACGGAAGAGGAATGGCGTCGGCTTTCCGAAGTGGCGAGTCCTCGGGGACCTCAAGCTTCTTTAGAAGAGACATCCAACCAAGAGTGAAACCCTTGTTGCATGCCTGCTTCATTTGAAGTTCATAAACCTCCGTAACGTTGGCCATACCTTGAGCATATGCCTTCTCATCGGCGTCCTTAATTTCAACCTCTTTGGTGGCCAAGGCTACTTAAAGCTCTTTTTCGGCTTGGGCCATCTTCTCCTCGGCCTCTTTTCTTTAGGACTTAGAAACCTTTCTGATGGCTTCGACAGATTCAGCCTTTTCTTCAGCGTCAGTTTGGGCTTTGATTGCAGCCTCAGCTTGGTCCTCCAACTTTTTCATCTTTAATTGTAAACTCTTGTTGGCTTTTTGAAGAGTAGAGAACTCCTTCTTCATCTCGGCCAACTTCTCTCGATTTTCGAAAGATTGAATAGAGAAAGAATAGGCATGCTGGATAGCCTGACAAAAACATAAAACAAAAGTTATTAAGAAATTTTCTAAGTATAAGAAAGAAGGAAAAAAGTGCCAAATGAAAGACACTTACTTGAACAGAACGTTAAAGCATCAAAGCGTAGTTTTCGTACTCGCTCATCTTGGCGTTTCGATTAAGATCGCGGGGGAGGAGCAAAGCAGTACTAAGGGCTACGCCGATGTTGATGTCATCAGCACTGTCGTTAGCCATGACTGGCTTATCTTCCAGAGTAATTTATGGAGCCCACGAGGCATCATTCTTTTTAGACCTCGAGGTGGTCGTAGAAGATGACCTCGGCTTTTTGGATTTTGGAGATTCTGATGGCTAGGCTTCAGAGTGCCTTTTCTCAGCAGAGGGTTGAGATTTGTTACTCTCAGCCAACTTGGAGATCGGCAAAGTATCCACAGATTCAGTCTGAGTTACCTTAGCCTTTGGTTGAGCCTTTTTTTATCCTTTTTGGCTTTGGAGGCTGGGTTGGAACTGGCTGAGCGTCAACATCGGTTGGAATGCTGGCCAGAAGATCTTTGGCAACTGGTTTTGGACGGCCTATCTCGGTAGAAGACACTGTTCAGCGTCGACGACGGCGTTGTGATATTGGGATCAAGTATGGAGCTGAGGTTGATGGCTGATCAGCTGGATCGAAAGTTGACCCTTGATCTGTCCGAGATGTGGACGCAGTCTGTGGAGTTGTGGCAGAAGGTGGAGAAAGGCTTTTTTTCTTCCTCTTAGGGATAAAGTTAAGAAGCAAAGAAGCCTCCCGTTTGTGAACCAAAAGGTTCAGTAGCATCTTCAAATCCTTACTAGGGAAGAAGGATTGGCGAAATTTTTTTGGAGGCTGAGGAAGAACTGCAAAGATAGAACAGCACAGACATTAGAAAAAGAATATTGAAAACTTTATGCAAAAAGGTAAGAAAACTTATGAAGGGTGGCCCTTACCAACTCCTTCCCCGAGAACTGTTCGACTTAAGGGATAAAGATGAATGTCATCATTTGGCTGAAACTCCTAATTGCCCGAGACGATGAAGTAATCGTCTCCAGCTCCTTTGTTGGAGTCTGGAAGGTCGGCTACGATTTTATATTCAGTGGATCTCGGCTTGAGGTAGTAGACATAGTCCGTGTCTTTTCTAAGGCGACACATGGTATAACAGTACTGGAAATTGGCAAGTGTAATCCTGGTATTCTCTTGTTTGACTAAAGCTATGGTACCAGTAATAACTCGGTAAGAATTGATGGCGAATTGCATTGGGTTCAACTTATAGAAGTGAATGATTTGACGGAAAAAATGGTCAAGTGGAAACTGAATTCCACACTCAATAAAGGCAACCACAGGGAAGGGCATGGAATTATCTGTAGGCATGATAGAGTCATCATCTCCAGCCAACCTCAGATTGACGTCGGCTGGGATTTCAAACTCTTGCCTAAAAAATTCTAGCTTAGAGGAGGTGTCTACCCGATGTTTCCACATACCCATGCCTATCTCGGTAGAAGACACTGTTCAGCGTCGACGACGGCGTTGTGATATTGGGATCAAGTATGGAGCTGAGGTTGATGGCTGATCAGCTGGATCGAAAGTTGACCCTTGATCTGTCCGAGATGTGGACGTAGTCTGTGGAGTTGTGGCAGAAGGTGGAGAAAGGCTTTTTTTCTTCCTCTTAGGGATAAAGTTGAGAAGCAAGGAAGCCTCCCGTTTGTGAACGAAAAGGTTCAGTAGCATCTTCAAATCCTTACTAGAGAAGAAGGATTGGCGAAATTTTTTTGGAGGCTGAGGAAGAACTGCAAAGATAGAACAACACAGACATTAGAAAAAGAATATTGAAAACTTTATGCAAGAAGGTAAGAAAACTTATGAAGGGTGGCCCTTACCAACTCCTTCCCCGAGAACTGTTCGACTTAAGGAATAAAGATGAATGTCATCATTTGGCTGAAACTCCTAATTGCCCGAGACGATGAAGTAATCGTCTCCAGCTCCTTTGTTGGAGTCTGGAAGGTCGGCTACGATTTTATATTCAGTGGATCTCGGCTTGAGGTAGTAGACATAGTCCGTGTCTTTTCTAAGGCGACACATGGTATAACAGTACTGGAAATTGGCAAGTGTAATCCTGGTATTCTCTTGTTTGACTAAAGCTATGGTACCAGTAATAACTCGGTAAGAATTGATGGCGAATTGCATTGGGTTCAACTTATAGAAGTGAATGATTTGACGGAAAAAATGGTCAAGTGGAAACTGAAGTCCACACTCAATAAAGGCAACCACAGGGAAGGGCATGGAATTATCTGTAGGCATGATGGAGTCATCATCTCCAGCCAACCTCAGATTGACGTCGGCTGGGATTTCAAACTCTTGCCTAAAAAATTCTAGCTTAGAGGGGGTGTCTACCCGATGTTTCCACATACCGATAATATCGGGATAACTAAAGGTATTGGATTTCAGAAAGAAGATGTTTCAAAAAGGGTTATTGGGACCTCGGTAAAAAACCTAGGTTTGAGCTGGTGCAGAAATTTGTAAGGGATGTTTCAGTTTTGCCCTAAATTGTGGGTTCTACAGACAAATCCCAAACCTAAGTCTATTGAAACGAAGACTGAAGGCATGAATCTGGAAAAGACACAAAAAATAGAAACAAGAACGAGTTTCAGAAGCAAGAACAGAGATGGTCTATTAAGAGCATAAAGAATACAAAAAGTATAGGGCCAGGAACAGTGGCAAAAGTACAAGGAAGTGGTGAAACAGTGCGTGTGTTCAAGATATGGGCAAGGGCAAAATCGTGGAAAAAACACATTCAGGTATATGATTCACAAATTAAAAGTTTGAACAAATGCAGTAATGGCAACAAGTTCAAGAAAAAATTAAGGCTTAATGCTTTTGCAGTGAAATTATTGCCATTTTCACGTTGTTTTGTTCCTCTTTTTTCGACACCCAAGCTGTCTTTGCTCTCTCTCTGTAGAAAGTAAATGTAAATTCATGACAGACGCAGCAGGAGTGATCAAAGTGGTGATCTCTTCTTCTGTTATTGTGTACTAGTGCATCTGCCATGCAAAAACCCAGATGAGAATGTGTAATAACTGCTGACTCTTTGACCATGACCTTCTCTCAATCCACTGCTTTTACTGCTTGAAAAAGAAATGAGAATTTATTTGGTGATTGGGTGCCCAAGATGTATGTGGTTGGTGAAAAATATGTGATTTATAATTTTATATTAAATAATTAAAAATAATAAAAGATGAGATAATTTATGATTGATTAAAGATATAATTACATGATAACCATGTGATACTTTTGGACCATCAAATAATTTTTTGGAGAAAAAAAAAGGAAAAAAGATTGTTACAGAAATGGTAAAGACGAATTTGAAGACTGTCAAACTGTAAATTGTGATTTGTTAAAAAAAAATTGTAAATTGTGATTTGGTAAAAAAATTGTGATTTTATTTGATTGTGATTTGGTAAATTGTGATTTTGATTTGGTAAAAAAATTGTGATTTTGTAAAAAAAAATTGTAAATTGGTGCTGGTGATGTATAGTTACGTTTATTTTGATTTTATTTGATTTGGTTGGACACAAACTCGTCTAGGTGGTTTGAACTGGTGATGTATAGTTACCTTTATTTTTATTTTTATTTTTATTTTTATTTGGTTGGACTCAAACTCAACTAGGTCAATCTGGTTTGAACTAAACCAGGGTCAGGTTAGGCCATAATTTACAATTTATGAGCCGAAAAATAGGCAATGGGACCATATGGTATGAGTGCGGATCCTCTAGAGTAACCCTCTAGAGTGATCTCCTAAAGTGGATGATCGGACGGTTCAGAATACTCCTCACCAAAACGACGTCGTTTTGGTGAGGAGTATTCTGAACCGTCCGATCATCCACTTTAGGAGATCACTCTAGAGGGTTACTCTAGAGGATCCGCACTCGCCCCCGGGTGGACGAACCACCGCCGGAATCTTCTCTTTCTGTTATAGGTTAGCTAGGTGTCATCTATTCTGCCAGTGTTCTCCAACTGAATACTGAGTTTGGCAGTGTGATCAGAAAATCACCCACACACTATCTAATGAGCAATCGTGTTTTACGATAAGAACTATCATTGTTAAGTTAACGAAAGATAAGATTTGTCGACCTGATTTCATTTGTAGATTTTTATTGACCGATAACACCATGTAAGATAACGTCACTACTACAGTCAATATTTTTTCATTTCGTTGTATCCAACATATTTCCACTCTTGTAGATTGACATTGTGTGTCTCTGTATATTTTGTGTTTTTTATTTTATGTATTGAGCACGACAACTTAGCTACAGGCACAGCCACTAGCAGTTGCAGCTATGCCCTTCTCTGATGCTTTTTCCATTTTTCTCATCTTGACCTCATGAAGGACATTTCTAGCCCATTCGGCGAAAAATGTCTCATTGTATCCAATTTTACCACTCTTGTAGATTGACATGCAGCGGCGGTCATCTTCCCCGTAGGGGCAGTGGTCACCACTGGGGTCTCGCCAGGCGCCTTGGTGTTTCATCCCGGACCAGCTGGCAATCCAGTGGTAGACGTACTGGCCGACACCGGCCAGTTTTAACCATCCTTTGGGGAAGAACTCCATGACACTGCTGTTTCTGTCCATGAGGAACATGTTGGTTAATTGAGCTCCATGGGGTGAGACCAAAATGTCTGTCAAGCTCATCAGCTTCACCTGGAATTTTAATTTGTCGAATAAATAATCACCATCCATTTGCACAATTCATTTTCTAAGATTTTATATGTAGATTATCAATTAAAAAAATTAAATTGAACTAAAAATTGATTGATAACTATAAACCATTCGTTTTTAAGGACAAATATGATAAAATTTTATGATTATGAATATTAGATCAATTTATTTGTTTTTTTATTATAAATAATTTGCATAAAAAAACTTACAAAATAAAATTCAAGTTGAACTGGGACATATGGGGAGAATCCATTCCCATAATTTAGCTTCTGTTCAGTCCTACTGGATGGTCCAATTTAGACATGTGAATATATTACAGGTCTCATTTTGATTATTTAATTCTATAAAATTTTTAAATTCTCATATATAGATTATACATAAAAATAAAATTATTATTTTAATAATTGTACCCACTCATTTTAATCACATTAAATCGCAAACTACAATTATATAATGAATTATTATTATTTTTTTTATGTGTGTGTGATGAATAATCAACATAATTTAAAATCATTGAACAGACCACCAAAATAGAATTTTGGTTGATCGGTAGGCTAGAACTGAATGGATTGAGATCCTCTTCATTACATCATCTAATAATTATATAATAATCTTGTAAACTTGTTTAAATTTCAAATTAGGAAAAAAAAAAATCAATTTTTGTGCATGTAGCATGGTCCATTTATGTGTATTATGTATTTAATTATGTGCGGGGTAGAATTAAAAAAAAAAAAGAAAAAAAAAAAAGAAGGACAAACCTGTTGACAGAAGGTGAGATTGTTGGAATGAGCAACGAAGAACCGGCAACCTTCGACGTTGTGACACTCCCTCTCGAAGATCCCAATCACCGCCGACTCATTCTTAAACGACCTCGCCCCTGTCCTCATGAGCATCGTCATCCCGATCACCGCCAAATTCAATCCCCTTCCTCCATCTTCCCTACTCTCTTCCATTCTCACATTACAGTACAACCTCGCTTTGCATCTCATCAGATCATACACCTCCATCCTCCTCTCCCTCGACATGCCTCCCTCGTTATGCCTCATCACCACCGCTTCCTCAAAACAAACCGCCCTATCTCCGCCACCACTATCATCAAATCTTTCAATATCAACATACCCATTAAAAGTAGCATTCATTAAAATCTTCAACCACGGTCCCATTTTTGTTCTAAGCTCACCCCAATGGTAAAGTACCCACCTAGTGGGCAATTTCGAACACTCATTTTTTATATGCCATGCTACAAATGGTACCATAGCGGATAATCCATGCCATATGTTGTCATAATTGTAGTGATTGTACGACACAAAAGTTAGACCGTCCATGTGGGTTGCATTTTCTGGTAAAGTTTCAGGCCAAGCCAAGGCATAGGAGTTCCACGCGCCGTCGTGTGTGTCGTTGCCCTTGACGCATAACAACCTGCCTTTTGAGGCCTTTGAAGGGAAGTGTTGGAATTGGACCTCACCTTGTTCGTGTGTGTCGTATGTGGAACTCATGAACCACGTGTGGCCTTGTTGGGCTGTTTGGGTGTAACGTAGGTCTTTAAGTGGGAGGAACGTGACGGCTTGCTGGAATTTGGCGGCGATGGTGGTGGTGGTGGAGGTTTGGGTTGTGTTTAATATGGGGTTTTGGAAGTGGTGGATGAAGGACCATGAAGAAGGGGGGGTTTGGAGGGATTGGATTTGGAAGAGGATGAAGAGGGTGACACAGGTGGAGAGGAGGCAGATGGAGAGTTTTGGCGAGTAAAGAGAGGTGGTGCGGTGGTGGTTGTGGTTGTTGTGGTGGTGCTTCGGACTGTAAGATATGGGGGGGACTCGATTTGTCTCAGAAACCAGTCTGGTCATGGTGTTGAGGATAGAGAAAGTTGATGAAAGTTGGGTCGATGATCTGATTTTTGGGTTGGTTTGTGGTGGGGGAAGAGAATAATGTGAGTTGTGGAGATCTGAGACTCTCTATTATCATTAGTAGTTCTTTAGAAAATGTTATTTTTACATGAATTTTATACATTTTTTTCCAAAAATATTATTCTGTATGTAAATTTTCTATAATTTTTTTTTTTGTATATTATTATTCTATTAAAAAATGATTAATCCCATCTTTTTGAAGTTGTGTGATACAAAATAATAACAAAAAATTAAGCAACACATGTACATAGCATTTCTCAAAAGATAAAATTTATTCAATGACAATGTGTGTGTTTGGTTTGAGTTTTTTGGATTAAATTTTTTAAAAATTGAGTTTTTTGTTTTTTGTTTTTTGTTTTTCGTATTTTTTGTTTTTAGTGAATATTTTTAAAATTTTAAACTTTTTTTTAAATTTTTTTTTAGATGCACCTTATCTAGATGTATCTAAAAAGTAAAAAATTTGTGAAAAAATATTTTAAAAAATTAATAAATACATAAAAATATAAAAAAAATATACTGAATTCTCGTATTTGTTTTGTATTTTTGATATTTAGTGAATTTTTAAAAGATTTTTTTCACAAAAATTATACTTTTTATGTATTTATGTGAATTTTTAAAAGATTTTTTTCACAAAAATTATACTTTTTATGTATTTATGTTAGGTGTGTCTAAAAATTAAAAAAATTACTTAAAATATTAAAAAAAATTAGTAAAAACAAAAAAATAAAGAAAAAAAGAAAGTAAAATTTTCTTAAAAGTGTTTTTCAAAAACCAAAAACAAGCAAATATTATTTTTTCTATAAATTTTGTTAACTTTAATTTTTTTCCCCTCAATAAACTTGAACTTTTTCATATTTTTTATTGTTTTATTTTATTGAGCAAGAGCTAAAAAGTTTTTGGGTGTTGTACAACAAAAGAATCAGACTTTCCTATAGTCTATGGCGTTTAGTATGAGTCTCATTTTGGTATTATCAATAAAAAAAATTATGTTGATCTAATAATTATAATTATAATGTATTATTTATTTTATTATATTTGTCTTAAAAAAATAGACAACAAAAGTGTTGTAAAAAATATAGCATTATTTTTTGATAACAAACTCAATAAATTAATTACAATTATCGGATTAATTTTTTGAATAAAATTCATTTTACTCTCTTATGATTTGAGGCAAAAACACTTTACCCCACTATTGTTCAAATATAGTCAAAAAATATCCATGTAGTTCCGGACCAAAGTACAACCTTTAACGCTGTTAACTATAGATGTGAAAAGATTATAATACCCTTAAATCCTATATTTTTTTTGTTATTTTATTTCTCTCTCCTCTCTCATGCACATAATTTATAATGTCTAACATTAATTCAATTAAATCACAATACTTATAAATTTTTAATTATTTATTGTAATTCTTAACTTTTTTTCTAATTTTAAATTAATTATATATTAGATCACAATTAATCCTAAATATTTAATTATTTATTGTAATTCTTTATTTTTTAATCTAATTTTAATTTAATTATATTTTATACCACAATTAATTCTAAATTGTTAATTATTTATCATTTTTTTCAACATGTTAATTTAATTTTGATTTAATCATATTTTAGACCAATTTTTAATTATTATTTATTATATATATTTTTAATTATATTTTAAATTTTACATCAATCCTTGATTATATTTTATTTTAATTAACATATTAACCTTTAGGTTTAGAGAAAATTGGGATAAAATTGTCTTTTTATTGTATTAATTTCACTTTATGTTTTTAAAAAATCAAATCCATTCTAAAAAATGGTGTGTGTGATACGAGCAAATATCCTCTCCGACGCCCCCCTTTGGGCAACGGTCCAGATTAGACTATATCATCCCATACAAAATATGCGACTGAGATTAGTTTTAAAAAAAAATAAAAAATTAATTAACATATTAACCTTTAGGTTTAGAGAAAATTGGGATAAAATTATCTTTTTATTGTATTAATTTCACTTTATGTTTTTAAAAACTCAAATCCATTCTAAAAAATGGTGTGTGTGATACAAGCAAATATCCTCTCCGACGCCCCTTTTGGGCAACGGTCCAGATTAGACTATATCATCCCATACAAAGGGCAAGTTTGGGAAGATCCAAAAAAGTCAAAAAGTCAAAAAGTTACTCAAAAAGCTAAAAAGTTAACACTATTCACCAAAAGTCAACAATTACGGCTGCACAACTCCCAATTCAAATTTTCCTCTACAAATCAATTTTTACAATTTTTTATTACACATTTTTCAATAAAAAGTCAAAAAGTTAACCCAAACATCCATATTTTCAACTTCAATTTTTTAGTCCAAAAAGACAAAAAGTGCACTTTTTTAGTCTTCCCAAACTTGGCCAAAATATGCCACTGAGATTAGTTAAAAAAAAAAATAAAAAATTAACTCACTGACACCACACATCCCACCACTGCTCACACATCACATACACACTCTCTCTCTCGTTCTCTCTCTCTCTCACTCTCTCTCTCTTCTAATAAAAAAATTAAAAAAATTATTTTAATCTTTTTTATTTTATTTTCATAAGATATGCTTCCCCTGTCTCAAAATTTCGTCACTTATTTCATTTTTCATTATTTTAAAATATTAGTCTTTTTTTAAAAATTAATGACAAAAATAATATAAATTTCTTATTTTACCATTCTTTTAAATTTATTAATAATATAAAAAGTACAATTAAAACAATTGATATTCTCCTAAAAAAATATACTATCATAAGATATATATATATATATATATATATATATAAAATTTTTAATATTAATTATATTTAATAAAAATTTAAAATAAATAAAAAGTAATTACTATGCTAAGTTATGTTTTTAAATTGTTGTTTTTTAAATATAAAAATTAATTTGTTGAAAATAAGCACACAAGAGTTTTCAATTTGATGGAATTAGTTATGTTTTCAAGTTGTTTGGTTACGAGTATCGAAAAGAATTTTTAAAAGTTAATTGAAAAACTTATAACTCATAACCAATCACACAACTCAAAACTCTATTACAAATTCTATTCAAAACTTATAACCAAGCTATTTGTAAAATTCAATTCAAAAAAATAAGTTGTCATTTTGGTCTAAAAAAATAATTTCTATATTTATAAAATATCAAAAACTATATAGTATATTTTTTTGGAGAATATCAATTGTCATAATTATACTTTTTATATTATTAATGAATTTAAAAGAAGGGCAAAATAGAAAATTTATATTATTTTTGTTCTTAATTTTTGAAAATAAACTAATATTTTGGGATAATAAAAAATATAATAAGGGACTAAATTTGAGACAGAAAAAGTATATTTTATGAAAATAAAATGAAAAAGATTAAAATAAATTTTTTAATTTTTTATTAAAAATAAGAGAGAGAGAGTGTGTGTGTGAGTGAGTGAGTGGTGATGGGACGTGTTGTGTCAGTGAGTTAATTGTTTTGTTTTTGTTTTTTTTTTTTAAACTAATCTCAATCGCACATTTTGCATTGGATGATGTGGTCTAATCTGGACCGTTGCCCAAAGGGGAGGCCGGAGTAGAAAGCTGGAGAGGATCTTTGCTCATGTGATACACTGTTCATTAATTTGAATGGAAAACCTAATGATGACACTTTAGCTCAAAACCACATTAGAGTTTTTTGGCTCTATTTGAACCATAGACGGGTAAAGTGCTCCAAACCCAAAACCATGAGACGTAAAATGAACTTGACCCATTTGTGTGTGTGTGTGTGTGTGGATGATATACACAAAGAATTGTACAAAATAAATTATTCAAATTATTGAAACAAGATCATAGTAAACTTTAATGATGCAGAACAAACCTTCTAGTCTAGGTCATGGACCGGAGAAAAACCAGTCCTATACAAAATAACAAATTTTACAAACTGATGTGTCATATGCGTTCCTTTTAAATCAAAGGGATGGTGTGCCTCGTGCACAAAAAATAATTTACAAATAATTTTTTTTTAAAAAAAAAAATCATTCATAATGTTGTAATAGTAATATGTTTGAAATTATGAGCTATACAAATAGAATTTAAAAAAAAAATCATTTAAAAGGCTGTAATAGTAATATATTTAAAATTATAAGCTATGTGTTTAGGTTTGAAATAAAAAAAGAAAATAATTATTCATTATATATAAAAATTCTGTATTAAAATTCTATTTATACATTACACTTCTAGTACTACATCAAAAAAATAAAAATAAAAATAAAAATAATTTGCAAATTTTGTCATTTATGTATAAAATTTTCCATTTTGTGGTTGCTTGTGAGGAGGGTTAACCGCTTATTGTCATAATAATCCACCACTTTGGCTTGAGTCACATGCATGGGGAAATCAATTATGTGGAGACCAGGGCCTCTCTTAGGTGACAAATGTTTGAGTGAAGAAGTGAGGAGGGTTCATATTGCCTTCTCTACGAGCATCCGCATCAACCTCAGCAAATTTTGAATCAAATTATAATTGAAAAAGTCATTTTTAGCAAATTTTGAATCAAATTATAATTTAAAAAGTCATTTTCATATTTTAGCTAGTCACTCACTGCATCAAACTTTCTATTTTAACTCAATCTTATTAAAATATTTGTTATTCTTTTTTTTTATAATTAAATTGATGACCTATCAACCAAACAATTCTTATATTTTACAAAAGATAAAACTAGAGGAAATGTTAAAAAATAAAAATAAAAATAAATAAATAAATAAATAAATTTTGCCGTTGACCTGTTGACCGACCGGACGTTCGGGCGGACTTCCGGGCGGACGTCCAGTTACACCCAAATCGAGTGTTGTAGCGATGAACAGTTCCACGCTTCTTCAGACGAGTTACTGTAGCAAATTTAACAAAAAATTAATTTAACAAAAATTTATTGAGACTGATGGAGGAAGAATTTGATGATTTGTTATTTATATTTTAACTTTTTGTTAATTTGAAGATACTGATGCTGATGCTCTAACATGTTAAGCTGATCTATGGTGGGACTTGTGAAGCTTAGGTGGAACAGTTTTGGAGTGTTAATCAAGTAATTTATCAGCCACCAACTCTGCTAGGGTTCAACTTGAATTAAATCAGTCATTGAAAAAATTATTTTAAAAGATTCAAATTGAAACATGCCAGGGTTGGCCCCATTTTATATCTCACTCTCTTCTTGAGATTTAATGATCCGCCATATAAAGGATATTACATCAAGATGAACTATTAATCGATTCTAATTTTTTTGGCCAAAAAAATTAGATTATGTATTTTGTGAAATTATTAATCCAATTCCATGCCCATGTCAATGGTAAGAGGTTTCCCATTCAGTGACTCAAAAAAAGAAATATGGTTAAGATATGTCATTAGCATTTTGATAATGTGAGTTTGGGTTTTAGAGAAATAACTTTTCGAAAGGATAAGATTGCGCACATCTTACTAACCATAATAAAAATTACAATTCAAAATTTATTTAAATTTGGTCATCAATAATTTGACTATATTGTGATGGGTTCTTGAATAAATGAACAATGGTCACATATCCATATGATATAAGAAGATAAGAGAGGGAGTGAATAAGGTAACTGAAAGGTGAAGTTATTTATGATGTGATGGGTCAAATTAATACTAGCATTTTATATATTTGAAGTTATAAAGACTTCCATGGCCTTGGTTTTGGAGATCTCATCCAACTCTTTTTCAAGCCAAAGTAACCCTGAAATCAGTACCCAGATCCCACAATATTTTTTCCATTTCAAGTAAGTAAAGCCTCTCTCTCTCTCTCTCTCCCTCTCTCTCATAGAGGATATAATTTTTTTATATTAATCCCACAGTCTAAATTTAAAATTGAAATAAAATGATTTCGTTTTCAGTGTGTGTGTGTGTGTGTGAATAGGGTCAAATTAGACGTGCAAAGCTAAATTGGATTGAGCACGCGCCTGGCCATGGTTTGGGTTATCAAAAAGGCTTATGTCGAGCCATACAAAATCCCTCGTTGGACAGGATGGCAAGCCTAAGATTATTATTGGCTGGATGTAGGTACAGAGTACAGAGGGCCAACCTAAGTTGAGGCTGAGCCCCTCAAGAGCATGGTCTACTTACATTGTGGTCAAGCCCCTCAAAGAGCAGAGACCACTCTTGGGTAGAGCCAAATCGTTCGATTATGTATTTTGCTGACATGTCTTACTATGATATGTCAATTTGGTAGCTGCTAGAGTAAAGTGGGTTTTCTATAATTTCAGCTTGGGAGGTTTTGTCGAAGAGCAAAACCTAAAGCTGATTGGTGGGGTTAAGAAAGTTGCGCTAGGTATTGCTTTGTTCTTTGGTTGGCTATTAGAAGAAATTATCAACTGACAACAAATTACTGCATTGCAGTGGAGGAGGTTGTTTAATATGATTGTTTCCAGAAAGAGAGGGCTGGCAAGGTCCATCAATAGCTATCGGTTTCTTTATTCCTTTGGTGCTGAGGATTTTATCACTTGACAATTGGAAAAGATAATTCATTATAGATTGGTTTAGTTGATGCTAAGGTCTGATGTTGGAATAGACACTAAGAACAGGCCAACTTAAAACGATTTGTTCATTGCACAATGAAATTTCCACGGCTAACCGACACACCAAGCATCAGAATCTTTTATTTACACACAGATTTACAAACCCGCATACATAATTTGTTAGGTCAGGCATAAACTTACATCACATGAGCACTTAACGTGCTAGTTAATAATACCCTCAATTTATACACGAAATTAAAGACTCTCGAGTGATTACTTTGTTGTCGAAAAGTAGCTAACCATGGCTTCTTCCCCTTCGCTATCAAGTGTCAAGTTAAGCTCCTCCGGAGGTAAGTCATCTTCAGCAGAGTCAAAATGCTGTACAGAGGTTGTTAACCTTTATGTTAGAGGGACACTCCTGTTGGATTGGGCTGGCAGGGACACATAACCTGCTTCTCTTTGGCTCAGATATCCTCATACGCGAAATCTCCATAGCGAGGGCATCAACAAAACCATAGTTGTCATCTTCTGTCTTCTTAGTCGAGTTATTGGATGAGAAAGCTAACATAGAGTCATCACTGAGAGAGCTGCTGGTTACTACCTTGTTTCTCTCCGACTCCACTGCATGTCTGGCAGTCAGTTTTCGTGAAGTCAATCTTACATGGTTATCCATTTTTGGCTTGGAAGCCAGTGTCTTCAATGTGGATTCTGTATGGGCCAAAATCCACGGATGATCTGGAAAAATATAAGTCGGATCATTAATGTCCAAAGAGATGAGACAACGGTTTCATTTGGCTTTAACAAAGCCAAAAGTAAAAGAATGCTACGAAACTGGGGGTGAATGAGACAGAACACTTACCCATCTGATTCATCCTTGCACATGTTTCTATATTATTACTTACCCAAAAAATGTTTCTATAATATTATGATTTAATTATTATATTAAATTATAAATATCCACAACATCGAAATTTTTTTATTTGGTTGTCTTAGCACTAGCAGTGGAACTTCTTGTCCCGCTCTGGGGAAGCATTTGGTGCAAGCTTTTATGACCATCACGAGTGCGGTACAGGCTTTGCTAGTGGAAAAAAAAATGAAAAAAATGAGATGAATGGAGATTTAAAACAGATTGGTATGCAACTTCCAACAAAATTAGTCATTTCCTTCATTTTAGACAACCAAAATGGTAGCAATAAGAGAAGTTAACCCTTCCTGTGCCTAGTTATCTGATTACCAAAATGCAGCCTAATGCAGGCAAGAGAAGTATATTGAGGCTTACTTAGTACTTCGTCAGCATTGAACCTCGCTGAAACATCCCTTGTAAGCATATGAGCAATTAGATCACAAGCAGCTTGGGGTACTGATTCCCATACTCCACTGCAAAAATCAAGTTTCACCTTGTTGACAGCCTCAAACACGGATTCTACAGAATCACCTTGAAATGGGAGCTCACCAACCAACAGTGCATGTAGTAGGACACCAGCACCCCAGATATCCACTTTCTCTGAATACTCACCGCTCAAAACTTCTGGGGCAACATAGGCAGGACTTCCAACCACACCTGTCAGGCTTTGACCTGTAGAAGAGAAGATTGAGTTATTTATATATGTTGAGAAATTTGTATAAACTAGGTTGTTCAGCACAAAGAAAAGAGAGTTGTGAAGAAAACAACAAAAAACACTAATACAGAAAATTAGAAAACACTATAATATCAAAAATAGTCATGCGGGAGCAGTTGATTGGCTAGTCACCCACAGGCTAACAGTTCTGTGGAAACCAACCTAAATTTGCTTGGTAAGGAGTCTTGGGCCATGGGAATCAAATAGGAACAATTTTGAGGCCAGTTATCAGTTCCAAGTCAAAGCATATCTAAAACAAAAGCAGCAGCCAAGCTGAACGGCACTAATTTCTACTTTATTTCAAATATTAGCATGTAGATGCTATTCCCAGAAATTTTACCTGCTCCTGTCATCTTCAAGTCTAAGTTCAAGTTTAATTGTCCCCATGCATGCTTGGATATAAGCAAACGACGTCTGAGTTCAATAGTTTTTCTATGTGTGCTTGGATTTTATCCAAGACAATACATCCCAAGTTAAAACAATCAAAGTCCTGCTTTCTATCTTTTCCACCTGATCTACGGAATATTTGTTCCGATTTCTTTGGATAACAATGAAAAAGAAGGAGATATTGGCAAACAAATCGAATAAGTAAACAACGGTTTGTCAAATAGAGCCACAGGCAATCCAGATAAGTGAAAACACCCCATAAAGCTGGCACCCCTGACAGTTCAGGAGCCAAAGAAATTTTTTGTATCAGCTATTGATTTCAATGGTAACAATCTCGGTACACCAATCATCCCCACTATTCACCATAATCGTCGTAAAGTCAATGGTAAATTTTGTTAACTGAAGGACACAAGAAAGATTACAGATACAATGATGAACGAAGCCAAAATATAAGGGATGAAACAGTGCTAATCAGGGTTTAGCCATGGTTGTTCAGTACAATGACCTTGCAAGAAGTGGCTAGTTCTGATTCATGATATTAGCATCACATAATATATATCATAAAGGGAAACTTTATTCTCGAGAAAATTGATGATGAGTTTTACTTTAATGATATATTTAAAAAGTACCCAACACTAGCCAATCTTTTTTTTTTTTTTTTTCCTTTTTCACAAAACACCCTACAATTACTACAACCCATACTGCAAAAAATATCAACAGAAGCAAAATCCTCTTATCCAAGCATAGTCTTTTTAGTTTGGTCTAGTTAAACAGACTTCTCAGACTGGCTTTATTTTATTTTAGTAAGTTCATGCTGTCCATACCACCCAAAGAGCATTTCAAACATCTATGTCTAAAAAATCAAGAAATACATATAACACAAAATGGATGCATCATTTACAAGGATTCATAGAACGGAAACAACATAGAAGTAAAAAGCAGAAAGTTAAAAATGAGATGCACCCAGAAATCCAGAAATTAGTTTAAGAACAGTAATGTTGACAGAAAAAGTATGAGCATCTATAGGTGGTCTTTTATAGTAAAATTCCAACATGACATAACCTTTAATAATATATATTTCTATACATTAGTGAATAGGGAAACAACTTTCAATTATGACAGAAATTTGGCATTATGGTAGTTCGTACTCACCATTTGAAATTCTCACAGCTAAACCAAAGTCTGCAAGCTTCATTTGCCCACAACTTGTAAGGAGGATATTCTCTGGCTTTATGTCCCTGTGAACAACACCCATGTCATGGCAATATTTAATAACCAACATCAATTCCTTGAGTAATTTAGCAGCTCCTTGCTCGGAATACCGCTTTCCCCTAGTCATCTGGTCCAGCAACCTTCCACCAGAACAAAGCTCCATCACAAGATGGAATGACTCAGTGTCCTCATACACTGCTTTCAGTGTAACAACGCCCGGATGCCCAGAAAGGTGCTGCATAATTTCCACCTCCCGATGCACAATCTCATCCCCCTTGCGCAACGTCTTGCACGCAAACTGTTGTCCACTTGCTTTACTCCGACACAAAACTACCAACCCAAATTTCCCTTTCCCAATCATTGCACCCAAATCATACTCTTGTTCGATCTTCTTCTTCCTACCTAGTCGAGTTGCTGCATCAATACACCCAATTTTCCTCTTGAGACCCCTTGATGGTGGATCAGAACATATACCTACAAATGGAGGGGCAGTGACAGCTCCATTGACTACACTCTTACAAGAAGCAACAGCTTCTATAGCAATTTCTTCCTTGTATTTCTTTCTCTGCCTTGAGTAATCTTCCAACGACAAGTGGGACAAAATGAACGTCAACGATTTTAGGTTATTTCGACTTGTCGGTATAACATCAGTTCCCTTCCTCTTCTTCCCCAGAAACTCCATTTAACAATCCAAATTAGTAGATTTAACAAAATTTCCAAAACCATAAGCAGTCCTACAGAATAGTTCTCACACTCGAAAATCAGCCAAATTTAACTAAGACCGTCCCAACAGAACATCCGATTAATGAATCTCCCCTGCTTACATAATTCTCCTAAAATCCCCTAAACCAAAAAGAACTTAACTACCAATTCTACCAACAAAACTACAACGAAATCCAATGTACTGGGAGGTTCGACTTTTGATCGAATTCTGCAATTTCAACAAATGGGTATCCATTAAAAAAAAAAAAATCAATAATCAAAACCCTAGCCCTAGATTGTTAACAATTCAAAGATAAACATATACAAATAAGAAAGATACTAGGGGGAGCGAGTTCAAAACCTTTGAACATGAAAGGCCACTTGCTCTTCTTCTTGCGACCCATTTGAGCCAGTGATTCAGGAGTCATAAACATCGATGATTTGCTTCGTTTCACAGTGATAATCTACAGAGACAAGACAAGACAAACAGGGCAATACACAGGAAATCAGCAAAAAAACACCGATGAAACCCAAAACAATCTCAACTAGGGGGGAGAGAGAGAGAGAGAGAGAGAGAAGTGTGATTGTTACCTTCATAGACAAGGAAATCTAGAGTGAGAGTGATTGGGGAGGAGTAAACGAGAGTTGTTCTACTTTATCTACCAGAAAAAAGGAAAGTTGGATCATTCATTCCCACGGACTGTCCATTACACGTGATTTACAACTCCCACCGTACGGCTCGCGCCCTTCTTTATGTATCTCTTTCCTTTTTTTTACGATTAACCGCTTCCACGTCTCCAAAAGCAAAGATTAATAAAAAAAAGAATTTTGATTGATAAGTCCAATTTAGAAGTGTTTTAACTCAAGAAATTTATGAAAATTTTTTTTAATTTATTTAGTCCTATGTATGTATAGTTTTATTTCATAAAGTACATTTTCTTGATTTACACTATTTTCTTAGACACTTATGCCCTTATATTTAATTTTGATACCCTTATAAATATTTTTTCAACGATTAGCAATTTAATGATGTGAACATTCATATTTTAAAATTCACATTGATAGGAATGTAAAATTGCCCCGTGGGCGGCCCGAACCCGCCTGCGAGCCAGGGTGGGCCCCGGCCCGTTGACAATGTGAATATTCACATTGACATGTTAAAATTCACATTAATAGGATGTAAAATTGGCCCCCGTCCCGTGGCAGCGCGAAACCCGCCGGCGGTCCATGGGCGGCCCGGTTCAGGCCGTTGACAATGTGAATATTCACATTGACCATGTTAACATTCACATTGATAAGAGTATAAAATTGGGCTGCGGCCCATAGGCAGCCAAAAGCCCGCCCGCAACCCGGGGCAGGCCCGGCCCGGCCCGTTGACAATGTGAATATTCACATTGACATGTTAACATTTACATTAATAGGAGTGTAAAATTAGCCCGCGCCTCGTAGCTGCCCGAAACTCGCCCACGGCCAGTGGGCAAGCCCGGCCCCGCCTGTTGACAATGTGAATGTTCACATTGACATGTTAACATTCACATTGATAAGAGTATAAAACTAGACAGCAGCCTAGGGCGGGCCCGACTCAGCCCGGTCCGGCCCGTTGACAATGTGAATATTTACATTGACATGTTAACATTCACATTAATAGAAGTGTAAAATTGGCCCCCGTTCCGTGGCGGCGCGAAACCCGCCCGCGGCCTATGGACGGCCCGGGACGGGCCCGGGACGGCCCGTTGACAATGTGAATATTCACATTGATAAGAGTATAAAATTGGCCTGCGGCTCATGGACGGCCAAAAGCCCGTCCGCGGCCCGGGGTGGACCCGGCCCGGCCCGTTGACAATGTGAATATTCAAATTGACATGTTAACATTCACATTGGTAAGAGTGTAAAATTGGCCCGCAGCCCGTGGGCAGCCCGAAGCCCGACCGCAGCCCGAGGCGGGCTTGGCTCGACCCGTGACAATGCGAATATTCACATTGACATGTTAACATGCACATTGATAGGAGTGTAAAATTAGCCCGTGTCCGTGACTGCCCGAAACCCGTCCACGGCCCGTGGGTGGCCCGGGGCAAGCCCGGCCCGGCCTGTTGACAGTGTGAATATTCACATTGACATGTTAATATTCACATTGATAAGAGTGTACAATTGGCCCGTGACCCGTGGGCAGCCCGAAGCCCGACCTCGTGCCAGGGCGGGCCCGGCCCGTTGGCAATGTGAATATTCACATTGACATGTTAACATTCACATTGATAGGAGTGTAAAATTGGCCCGCAGCCCGTGGGCGGCCCGAAACCCGATCGCAGCCCGAGGCGGGCTTGGTCCGACCCGTGGCAATGTGAATATTTATATTGACATGTTAAAATTAACATTGATAGGAGTGTAAAACTTGTCCGCTGCCCGAAGCTCGCTCGCGGCCCGGGGTAGGCCCGGACCCAAACCCGGGCCACCCCGGGCCGCCCATGGGACGCGAGTCAATTTTACACTCTTATCAATGTGAATGTTAACATGTCAATGTGAATATTCACGTTGTCAACGGGTTGGGGCCGGGCTTCGGGCTGCCCACGGGTCACGGGCTAATTTTACACTCCTATCAATGTTAATGTTAATATGTCAATGTGAATATTCACATTGTCAACGAGCGGGGCCGGGTCCGCCCTGGGCAGCGGGCGGGCTTCGCCCACGGGCCACGGGCCAATTTTACACTCCTATCAATGTAAATGTTAATATGTCAATGTAAACATTCACATTGTCAACGGGCCGGACCGAGCTCGCCCCGGGCTGCCCATGGGACGCGAGTCAATTTTACACTCTTATCAATGTGAATGTTAATATGTCAATATAAATATTCACATTATCAACAGACTGGGTCGGGCCCGCCCTGGGCCGCCCACGGGCCGTGGGCTAGTTTCCGGCTGCCACGGGGCGCGGGCTAATTTTATACTCTTATCAATGTGAATGTTAACATGTCAATGTGAATATTTGCATTATCAACGGGTCGGGCTGAGCCCGCTCAGGGCAGCCCACGAGCCGTAGGCGGGTTTCGGGCCGGCCATAGGCCGTGGGCTAATTTTACATTCTTATCAATGTGAATGTTAACATGTCAATGTGAATAATCACATTGTCAACGGGTCGGGCCGGGCCGAGCCCACCCCGACCAGGGCCCGGGCTTTGGGCTGCCCACGGGTCATGAGCCAATTTTACACTCTTGTCAATATTAATGTTAATGTTAATGTTAATATGTCAATGTGAATATTCACATTGTCAACGGGCCGAGCCGAGCTCGCCCTGGGGTGCGGGCTAATTTTATACTCTTATCAATGTGAATGTTAACATGTCAATGTGAATAATCACATTGTCAACGGGTCGGGCCGGGCCGGGCCCACCCCGACCAGGGCCCGGGCTTTGGGCTGTCCACGGGTCATGGGCCAATTTTACACTCTTGTCAATATTAATGTTAATGTTAATGTTAATATGTCAATGTGAATATTCATATTGTGAACGGGCCGACCCGGGCGACAGGTTGGTTTCAGGTCGCCCACGGGCCGCAGGCCAATTTTACACTTCTATCAATGTGAATGTTAACTTGTTAATGTGAATATTCATATTATCAACGGGCCGAGTTTGGCCTATTTTTTTGGCTTTTGGGCTGGCCCGGCCCGACTCGAATTTTTCCCGACACCCACGAGGATCGACATGAGTCGGGCCCCTACACATTGACGATATAAACATTTATATTGACGGTGTGAACATTCACATTAAGGGTATTTTGGTAATTATGTCACCCATAGGACTTATTGAAACATAAGAAAATAATGTGAACTAAATGGAACATAAGTAGATGAAAAGGATATTTTGGTCTTCTTATCTCAAATAGGACATAATGGAATAGTCAAAAAGAATATGGGTTGGATGGAATAAAACTCTTAGAAAATGGATTTATCAAAAAAGCTCCCATAAAAAAAAGACAAGGTCCCTATGTTTGATTTTGATTTTTTAAATTAAATTTTTTGAAAATTAGATTTTTTATTTTTTGTATTTTTTTTGTTTTAAATATATATTTTTAAAACTTTAAGTATTTTTTTTCCTTTTTTACATACTTAGATGTATCTAAAAATTAAATATTTGTAAAACAATATTTTAAAAAATTAATAAATATACAAGAATACGAAAAATGTATTGAACTTTTGTATTTTTTTTATATTTTTAGTATTTAGTGATTTTTTTTTAAAAAAAATCACAAATATTATACTTTTTAAATGAATTTACATTAGATGTATATAAAAATTAAAAATATTACTTAAAATATTAAAAAAAAATCAGTAAAAATAAAAAAAAACACGAAAAATAAAAAACTTCAATTTTCTGAAAAGTAAATCCTAAAAATCATAACCAAACAGAGTGATTGTCTTTTATATAGAAAATGTTTGAGATCCTATAATGATGTGATCGGATAAATGTCAGTTTTTAATTGATCATACACTTAGGCTTCGTTTGAAAATAAGTTATTTTAGTAATTTTTTAGCTAAATATGAGGTAAAAAAACTTGTATGTTTGAGATGACTTTTTGATTTTTTACGAAAAGACATGCAAAAAGTAGAGAGAAAGGGAAATTTTTTACTTTTTGTGCAAGGTATAAGTTTTTTGATTTTTTTGTAACTTTTTAACTTTTAGGTTAAAACTATTATATAGGATTTATCATCTTTACTACATCATGGTGAATATATTTTTGAACGTGGATCTCCAACATTATTATTTTTATATATGATCATTTTTTTAATTCAGCTTTTTTTTTTTAATTTTTAGTTTTTATTTTAAATTTTCGTATTTTAAGTTTTTCTTAATTTACCCTTAAGACTAAACTGCTGTTAAATAAAAAAACGTCACTTTATTGTTACATGATATAAAAACTATATTACTATATTGAGGTTTAGAATTGTGATAATGATGTGAGTTATATATGATAAAATATGTTTATGACACATGAATGTCAATATGTCATTTTCTGTCTAATTTTGGATATAAATTAACTTTTAGAGTAAATTTTAAAAAAATAAAAAAAATAAAAAACTTGAAACATGAAGGGCCAAAGTAAGAGGAAGAAAAAAAAATAGAAGCCAAAGTGAGAAAACAGTCAAACATAAAGGACGAAAAAGTGTAATTTATCCCAAAAACAAAAACAATAACGTTTGGAACTTGCTTTTTTCAGTGACTTTTTAATCCTTTACAAAAAGATATGTAAAAAAATAAAAAAAATAATTTGATAACTTGTAATGAGTCTTTGACTAAAAACCTAAGTTTCCAAGGAGGCCAAATATAAATATTTCACAAGGAGTGAACTCACATGATTTAGGATCTACATGTAGAAACCACTCTTTGTAAGCCATATGTGTTCCATTATGTATTTAGTCTCTATGTTTCTAGTATTGTTGAAAAAAATGAATGCATGTTTGTAAACATAAAAATGGGTCACAAAATAAAACGGGAAAATTAGTTTAACATCCCTCTCAAACTTTTAGTAATATGAAAGGTCCATAATATTTTTTTTGGTAACCTAAGGTCCCTCACCCACACCCATATATCACATCATCTCTCTCTCTCTCTCTCTATGTATATATATATATATGTATGTATATAAATATCATACATACACATATATATGCATTGTGTGTACAACAATGGCTTCAGACCCAACTCGAATGGCCATGTTTTGTGCTATATTAGCACCTGCATTATCTCTAGCAAAG